GCGGGCCGGGCTCTTCAGGCATAGGCTACCTGGAAAACGTGGAATGTAATCAAAATTTGGCGAAAACAACCAGAACTTTGAGAACAAGAATCAATCAACTTGAATCACGTAGAGAGCAAAGCAAAAAAAGATTGCAGTGCGAGAGCGCGGAGGGATCAGCGACGTTTTGGCGATTTTTAGGCGAGAAGCAGGGCCAAAGTTTGCGAAAGTGGAGGAATATCGCGGGAAACGTTTTCAATCATCGAAAATAAAGTCCTCGAAACTTTTGTACAAAAGAAATGAGCAATTTAGCGGCGGCAATTCAAAAGATAGCCTTGGGCGGAGCTATAGCATAACGAAAAAGCTTTTCTGCTCGATTGTTGCGGCGAAATCAGTCCTGAAAAAGGAGCGTTTTGCGGAGAAAGCATTTTTCGAGATGGGAAACGAATTTGAAAAGGCCTTGGACGATGAAAGAAGAGTTAGCGACGAAATTGCGGAGCCTTCGAAGCAAAATTTGGGCGCGAGAGCAGGGAAAACAAGCAAATTCCGGCGTAGCGAAAGAAAACAAAGAAAAGCGGGTTCTTGTCAACTTCGTAGCGGGTAAAAAGCTTGGCGAAAGGGGTTGCCAGTCCGGGTTTCCAATGTTATTGCTTTAAGAGCGGGTGAGAACGCGGGAAAATTACAGAAAAAAAACTTCATCCCTGAAGGCGATGAATTGGGGCAGGGTACGGCGGGGCAAAAAGGCAACTCGGGGACAAGGGACGGGAGAAGCGCAACGTAGTTTGAATAGTTTCTTGCTTGTCAGGATCTGCAGGACTTTTCCTAACTGAAAAACGATTTGAAAAGAGCAATCGGTTCAAGAAGAAGCTGCGAAATGCCATTTGCTTGCAACGAGGGCCATGGAAAATCATTTTTGACATGAAAAGGCGCCGGTATTCGAAAGGCTGGAATCATCGAGGTTTCCATTCTTGATACGGCTGATAGCGAAAAGATGAATTCTCAATGCTGGGCACTTGGAAGCGAGAAATCCGGCAAATAGAGTCGAAACAGCTCAACATGGCGAGGCAAAAGCTCATTTTTGCAGGTGCGAAAACAGAAAATTGCGCAGGGCTGATCAATTCCCTTTACAAAACGTGTTTCTTCTGCACTTTTCAAAAGATAGCGAGTTCTGGGATGAACTTTTGCGCATGGAGCGGGTGCGAGTCGAAAATCAAGCCTAGACGGGGTTAGAGAAACCGATAAAACCTTCAATACGCCGATTTGGGATGCTTGAGGCCATTGGAAGCAGAAAGAGCGGTCTTCACAGAGAACTTCTGGCCAAAGTGACGTTCGCGATTCGTCAACCTGGAAAAATTGCATCTGAGAATAAAGCAAATTCAACTCACTTTCAGGCGAAAGTTGTGGGCACTTGTGGCGGCTTTTCTTTTGAAGCGACATTGCCGTACTGGCAAGAATCCAGGCAAACTGCGAGAGCGGGGGGAAGCGCAATGGGCATTCGGTAGCCGCAATAACATACCGAATCCACAAAGCTCAAAAAACCTTAAACGACTCGAGCTGTGCACGCTACGAGACGCCGACTGCGTAAAGGCCAAAAAAAATGCACAGGCGGGTTCCCATTTCTGCGACGGGGAAATGGGGGAAAGGCGGCCACGACGCACAGTCGTCACATCGGCTCCGCGATTCGATCCTAAGCCCACTCTGAGAGTCTCATGATGCCGAGATTCCTCCGGACCAAAGTGCGCGAGCAACCAGCTGCAGCGATGGAAGCTCTTCGGTCTTTTTCACCCATATACACTTGGTCCGTGTACTCTTCAGCAACACGATCATGTATTCCTTCCCAATACATGTGCTTGCTTTGCCCACCGGTCTCTGCGGTGATAATGGCTACCTTCTTGCGGGTTTCTTGGGTGCTTTTTCAGCCAATTTCTGGCTTTTTCTTCATCTTGCCTCTACTTCTTCAAAGAAGGGCTTTTCGATGGCTGTTCATGCCTGGTTCACGGGCAAAACCAGAGCATGTCGACGTCCGAAAGGCTTGGGCGGCCAATCGACGGTTAAACTCTTGGCACAAAACTCTGGACGAGTTTGGCCAGGCCACCGAGCGCGTTCTGGGCTGAACGGCTGGGCCAACCTTCGCTTCAGCACATGGGGATGCTTCCGCTAGGGCTTGAGAGGTGGGAAAGCACGGTTCGGCCCCCAGTTGGGTTTTGCTGCCTATGGGAGGGCAGCTACCAACACTTTTGCAACGGCTACAACGCCAAGAAGAGCACGCAAGGAGGGTTGTGCCAAGATGAGGGAGCTCCTAACTCCACAAACAACTCGCTGCGCCTTACAAGACGCTAGGAGAAAAACCAAAAACTTGTTAGAAGACTAGAATGTGATTAGGAAAACAATAATTTGAGTGAGATAAGTTTATTACTACATAATCTGCGCGAGGGAAATTGATGAGAGTGAGAATTTAGAGGGGGAAATCTAGGGGGGTGGGGAGGAGAACTCGGGGACGGGGAAGTTAGCGGGGAAAACGGGCGGCAACACGGGTGCGGGATTTCCCAAAAATCCGCGACTGACTCGGGAGAGGGCTCTCTTCTTTGGGCGGCCTGCCTTCCTTGGGCGCGCGCCGTGGCGTCGGCGACGGTATCGCAGTGTACTCGTGCGAAAGGGGCTCGAGGGAAGGGGAGCAGGGGGCTCAACCCAACTAGGATTTTCACCATTTTGTTTGTAAAATCGTTAAATCAAGGAATTTCGAAAAACAAAAAAATGCGTGTCTGGCAAATGTGTTTCTCCACATCCATGCCAAAAATCAGCCGGAAATTCGGCCTGACGGCCGAGAAATCGGCTGCACAGAAAACACACATACTTTTCTCGCTTATAGGATAGGATTTCTTTATGGGTTCCATAAGGTTCAAAACTTACAAGCAAAAGTGCTGATACACCGACACGAATCGATCTACGGGCTCGCGAATGATCGTGAATTTCAGCGGCTTGATCGGTTTATGCCATTTCTCCACGCCATGCTTTCGGAAGCGGGTTTTGTGTAGCCAGCAGGGACTGAAGGGGTTGCGGTAGCATCAAATGTTCATAGGAGTAGCAAGACACAGGTCGAGCTATCAACTGATCATTTGGTAAAAGGAAACCTACCGAATCAAGGCGGCTTTTCACTTTTTGGGTGATTCTAATCGCGGGAATCTCAGGGTTTTAAGTTCATTTTTTATTTTCTAAAGCCTTAAAAAGCTGCTATGCGACTAAAAATTAGCTGTTACGTAATTAGGGCGGCGTACTGGCCGATACGCATTGGCGAATGTGTAAACGTACTTATCAATCCCCTTGATCGTGTTGTTTAGCCGCTGCTTGTATTTGATGCCCCGGAAATCACGCTGAACATCGCATAACATTGCCAACGTGATTGTTGAGCCTGTTTTTGGGATGCGACAATATTGGAGGCCAAAACCGGTGTCGATCTGTAAGAAAATTTATGACTTTTTCGGATTCGAAAATAAAGAGGCTCACTTTGTTGTGCTTGTTAGGCTTTTGCAAAAACTAGCAAGCTCTGTGATCCTTGCATCACTCTCCTCTACTCTCTCTCTCTCTCTCTCTCTCTCTCTCTCTCTCTCGCTCTCTTCAAAAAGCAGAGGCTTCAACAAAGCAAGCAACACAAAATCGGTTTGCCACCCACAATATCATTAATATTTCGATCCAAATCGACGTCTTGTACTGAAAAATACGGGTAGCTAATTTTGCAAAATTCGGCAAGCTATGGAAATCCGACAACTCACATGTTACGCACAGCGGAATCACAGCCAGAATGACCGTAAAAGGCAGCCACATAATTACTGTAGCACCGACCGTCAACTTTCCGTTGACTCTGTCGTAATGAGGAGCGTGTCGTAATTAGGGGAGGAGACGGTAGCGGTAGAAGTGAATCAGAGCGGGTTGACCCCGGTCCCTTTGCCTACATACAGACTGTGTGCCCTTCCCGCCTTTCGTGATAACAATTGGATCGAAAATTTCCGCAGGCACACGCCTTTGCCGGCTCGACGCTCTTTCGAACGCGCCGAGCGCGCGGCGCTGAGACCGGCCGTTCTATCCTCTTTACGCGCCCGGAGGATGCCAACAGTTGATAAGGAGTGTAATAAGTATGGGGTAGCTGCGGATGGGGTAGTTGTTACAGTCTTGCTACGCTGTAGGAAGTGGTTTTGTTGGTGTTGGGCGAAAAACGGTTTGGGAGTTTTACCCTGGGGAATCGACCCTCCTTTTTCCGATGGAGTTTTCATCATTGCGATAAAATGCACGTTTACAAAGTACAAAGTTAAAGCCGGTTTGGTTCTGTTGTATTTCAAGCTGGGGGAAAAAACTGGGCGGGGGATTTGATTGGGCAGAACTTCGATATTGTCACTATTATCTTGCAATTTTTGTAAGGTCCTTCGATAGAGCATCAAAAATAGCAAGCTGGTTTTCGATATATTTGCTGGTTTTTTTTTGATATTTTGGAGACACGATTCGATAGATCATCAAAAAATATACTGAGAGTTTTAATCTCATTTCAAAATAGCCTAATATAAAGTGTTATAGGAAAAACAAGGCGTAAACATGGTTTCTTATGTAGCGTAGAGCCGAAAGCTAGTTTTTCGACATATGTAGAGGCGTTAAAAATTTTGGTAATACTATCGAAAATGCCGAAATTAACTTCCCGCCCCGAAAAACTCGCGTAAAATACCTCGTGAAAAGTTGTGTTTGAAGTTGTAAGTAAAACTCCAGTATATTTTTCGGTGCCCTGAAGGATGGCCTTTTCAGATGCCAAAAAAGCAAAACGCTTGCGAACCAGGTGACCAAACATATTTTCAAAACTTATTTTTTATTTGAATATTACTAAAAACTCATTATGACCAACGGTGAGTAGCTCTAAAATAGTGTAATTCGGCAAGCAACCGAACTCTTTGCCGGAAATTTTTCAGGCTGAGGTATGAATTAACGATTTATCATAACCTAAAACAAGCAAAAAATGTAAAGAAGCTAAAAACCGTTTATGGTGTGCACCCGTCTTCGACCCGAAAGTGGCTTTGTGTTGCGTAGTGGATGTTCATCCGCTGGTTGCCGGAGGTGGAATAGTATTCTCCGTGTGCGTTGACGCACTCGATGCCAGGGTTCTTGGGGAACTGCAAAAAAGCGGATAGAATCCAGACTATCGAGCGTGAAAAAAAGGCGTCTAAAGCATATAAAATTGTAGAATCACTGACATTGCATCGCTCCGGCCCTGGGCACGTCATTTTCTCAGGGTTGCTGTTGAAATAGTGCCTGAAAAACCCATCAAAAAATGTTGAATAATTTTAATCCCGAAAAATCGCGTATAATTCATTTCTAAGAGACTCGAAAAATCAACGGTTGACCTTTGATGTTTAACAAAAAGGCCAAAGGTAAGGAAAAACGCCATTGGTAGAACAATCCGGATAGCATCAATAAACTAGAAAAACCCAGTTGAAACGATAACAGCACCTGGAAGGGCTACACTTTACTTTACCCCCCCCCCGCCCACCCGCCCACCGAATGTTTTGGCTAGAACTTTTTTATTTTTGATTATTGTAGGCTCAAATTAAAACTCTTAGTCAATTTTTTGACGCTCTATCGAATGCCGGTACAGAAATTTCGACACAATAAGCGAAAACATCGAAAACTTTGAGACCCTGGGCTTTCGGCTCTGGAGGGGGGGGGGGGTAAAGAAAGCCTTACCCCCTAGAAGCTTTGATTTCAATACCTTTAAAACAACATCCCGCAAACCCCGAAAACCTACTGAAAATAGTTTTCGTGAAAACAACTGGTCAGCAACTTCTGGTAGAACTGATCCTGCGGCATCCGCGACCAGATAGCCCGGATCTCCGGGTTTTTGAACATCCGCTTCAGGTCGGCCTGAAAACGCAATAATGAGGAGTGACTTGATTAAATGAAACCTGTAGCCAATTCGCATCCTCGGCCGGTAGAAAGTCTGGTTTCCGCAACATTCCGCCCTTACGGCTGAAGAGTTGCGGGATGCCCTGAAGTGTGGAAAGGTTGCAAAGAAAAAAGGAAAGGAAAAAGTAAAAGCAACTCCGCTAAGCAATTTCCACGACATTTTCAGCTTTAACCGTTCTCTGTAACCCACCTGGCTACTAGTAAATGGGTATTCTTCCAAAGGTTTCAGACGCGCGACGAAATTCTCCTCGCTCGACACATCATACCTGAAACCATAAGATACAATCATTACTAGTTGTCCGCTAAAGTACCGCTTCATGTTTTCGAGCACCGAAAACGGAAAGTGCACCCAGGTGAAATTAATATTCTTTGGCTGAACGACGAATCGTCCGGCCTCCATGCTGGGCAGAACCTCTCTAAAGTTTTCTAAATATTGAGCTCCAAAACTATACACGATCCCGGTGTACATTTGAGACATCGTGAAGTCGTCCATCATAATTTCTAAAAATAGGGTTTGAAAAAAGACTACGCTTTCCTACGTCTAGCTGCCTGGTCGGATTCTTTGACGTAGTGCAAATAAGAGGTCATCGGGTTTTCGAAGAAATAGTGCGAGTATTCCTCTGAAAGGGGCAACAAACATCAATATTTTTGCTTTTTGTGCATATCCTGGAATTCCGTGAATTGTTAAAACCTACCAAAATATGTCTTGCCGATCCTCGGAATTTGCACATCATCAAGGTCCATGAAGGAGATAAATTCCGCAGACTCCTAAATGACGAAAGAACAATAAAACATCCTAGACCGTCAAATATTAAAAATAATAAGGATCTCAATGCAGGAAAATAAACTATATAAAATACTATATTTTGGACGTAAGGATGCTTACTTTATATTGCAGCAAACAATCCGTGTATGCGGCTGCCTGATTTCGAAATTCGACATGAAGATTAGGGTTGAAAAACGCCTCATGAACCTGATAGAAATTAATTTGGAAGAACAAAATTATTTCCGAACCGTTTTCAACTTAACCCGCATCCAAGGGTCTATTTGAAGATAGCCCTCTCTTTCGTAGATCTTGAAAATGATACCCTCGATTAATTAGTAAAATAACAGCACCTTTAGCATCTCGAAAAGCGGGTGAATCATGCTTCTAACGTAGAGTTGTAAAAACGAGCCGTACCTGAAGGTATGGTTTTCTTTATTTTTGGGATACCGCACCTTCGATAAAGATGGGCCGCAAAAAGGGCATATTGCCATTGTTCATTTGCATAAAGGGGTGCGATGCAGGTGACGACGCCGTGTTTTCGGTAGTTTGGGATACGGTAGGGGATCTGCAAGCAACAAACTAGACTAGCTTGGTTTAGGGATTCGGTTGTGCTCAAACTTCTAAGGAGACGTTTTTGAGTGGCGTCTCAGTTTTGAGCATGACCAAGCCTATCCTGTGCTGAATTTTGCGCTGATTCCGAACCCGGTTTCCAAATTTGCTTAATCGGCATTTTGAAAAAGCTACAGCGCATTTTACGGCGAAAATGCTCCAAATCGCAAAGTTTAGTCTCCATGGGAAAATTCGAGAGAAAGTATTCGGCCAAAAGTAGTTTGCACATCCTGTGCCGAAGCAGATCCTCTTCCGAATGAACTATCATACGCAAATTTTTGGAATCCTTCCGGAAAAACCATTTTTAACGCGATGTGATTTTGAGGCAAGTTTTATAAAATTTCCATAATTTGAGGTTGAGGCTTCGGCTTAGGCGTCGTTGTATTCTTACTAGCTTACCATTTCATATCGATCACCTAGTCCCACAGCGAGCTGCGTCATATTCGGAAGCGTAGTGCCCACAATTTCAAAGGATATCCATTTGCAAACATTGTGAGGGATCATCCTAAAGCAAATCCATTAAAAAGGCAAAGAAAACATCGAAAATATTATAATTTCAAAAAGCTTTTGAGTACAGAAATCACTTTTAGAATAGGATTTTTCAATCAGTAGGATGAATTTTGGTTTAAAGATTTGCACAATACAATTTTCGCCAACCTGTCGTAAAAGGGATAGTCATATGAGTTATGCCCGGTGCTGTTCCATCCCAGGATTTGCAGCCGCTTCAATTCTTGTGAATTTACATGAGCCGTGACAACCAGAGCGACAGCGTTTGGTCCAAGGCTAAATAGAAACAATGTATTCTATCCTAAAAAATGCGCAAGAATTTTACTCGTTAGCGTGAGATCCCTACAGCTTACCTGCTCGAATTTGGATAGTAATAAGCTGAGATCAGAAACGCATCATAGGGCCCTTGAATGAATCGATCGGGCTCCGGACGTGGTTTACGCCTGGATAAATGAGAATTTGCTATGAAAGCCACCGTACCGTATAAAAATTGGCAGTACAAAAAACAAAGCAAACATTAGCGCCAAGAAGAAGACTAGGTGAAAACTAAAACATTTGTTGCGTTGTATGAACCAAAGCTTACCTCGTTTTATTCCGCGGATCGAAGTATTTCAAGAAAATTCCAAGGACACGCCTGGCCAATAGTCGCATTTTGATATAGGATGGTGGCGGAGTTAAGGACCCATATGCTAGGGTATCGATTGCTGAAAAAAATGCTCGTGGCTACGTATCTTGCCAAATGACATGGTTTAACTTTAAAAAAACGTCAAGTACGAACCTTGCTTTTTTGGTCATTAATTATTTCTGAAGGTTAGGGCTTCATTAAAGCAATAGTTGATTTTCTTGGTTAAAACTGTTAAAGATAGCTTTTGCTATAATCTTTATTCCACAGGAGGCATGAACTATCATAAAAACTCCTAGGTTCAGCTAACAGTTGAGCTAAGCCAAGTATAGTCTAGGCTAAGTGCAAATTGTGAAGTCAAAGTTGTTGCGAAGCGACCGACCTGTTTCCGCCAAAGTCACAAAAGAATCGTCACGAAAATCCAAGCCCAAACTGAGCAGATCGTATCCGATGAAGTCGTACAATAAATTGTGCTCTCTAGTGCGCAAGAAATCGGCGGATTGCCCACGTAGGTGTGCCGAGACGTGCTTCTTCTTTTCTTAAAAGTATGGATCGAGTTTTTGGCACATTAGACTGGGCCAAAGTGAAGGGTGGACGGGATCCGGTTGCGCGGCGTCTGGTGGCGTCGAGATTTCAATCTACCTGCACCGCGTGTCCGGCTCGAACACCGAAAATGGGTTGCCAACCGCGGAGGAAGCAAAATACCAAAACACTGTGGATTTTTAGTAGAATCTTTGATATTGTCACGATGATTGCCGGCCAACTCGCCGACATTCGACTCGCCGACAGCCAACTAGCCGACATTTTCGGCGTCGGGACGACAGAATTTTGATTACGCCAAGTTTTCACTGATTTGCTTTCACACTTTCAATGCAATTTTAGGGAGGTGCGAAGGGGAAATCGAACCCCCATAGTGCCTGAAGCAAGCGCTTTACACCCCCGCCAGGCCAAGGAAGGAAGGGGGGGAGGGGGGGGCGGGGGGGATAGGAGACCGCTACGCCAGATTGCCGGATTCTCATCCAAACTTTCATGCTAATTTCGAATTACCGGAACAACCTCCCTAAAATGAATGACTACGTCTCATTTTGATCCCAGAGTTTGCATGTAACAAGATAATTCTGTCGACTCATAAAATACATGAAAATGTCGGCGAGTTGGCTGTCGGCGAGTTGGCTGTCGGCGAGTTGGCTGTCGGCGAGTTGGCTGTCGGCGAGTTGGCTATTTTCCATTCATTCCACTCACGATAAACAGCTTTAAACGGGCCATCAAGCTATTTTCGGCTCTACGCTCTTATTGTCAGTTAGGGTTCCTAAGGATTTTGCGGACAATAAGTTTTAGGAGCGGACTGCGTTTTTGTCTTGAGTTTTGGCTTGGATGTTTTATTTTACATTACTGTAGAATAAAATTAAAATTCTGGGCATATTTTTTTACACTCTATGGAATGGCCTTGCAAAAAAAGCGAAGATACCGGAAAACTTTGATACCCTTTGGCTGTGGGGGGAGGTAAAGTAAACCCTTCCCCAAAAATAAATTGAACTAGTTCTACAAAGCATTTGACACCGAAAACCTCTTCAAAAATTTTCGTTAAAGGCAACCACGAGTTTTAAGAATGTACCATGATGCGGAAATTCGGCCGCTCGATGAAGAAGACTTCAAGTTTCGCGTGGATGCGAGACAACGTCAATGAACCTAGATTTTCTGCACTTATCAATCCTTTTTGACGATCACACTCCACTCAAGCTGACCACCCGCAGGAAAGTGCAGGCCCAGACGATCAGATACGAAAGAGCAGACGGAGTGACGGGATCACTCCGCTGGAAAAGTTCGCGCGGTGACTTCTCTCCCCCGCCGTGTCTCGTCTCCCTTCACCCCTTTTTTGCGTTTCTGTCCCACAGCCGTAGGCGAAAATCCTCAATCCGAAAAATTTGCTCGGTTAGATCCGATCTCACTAGTGAAACACCACCGAAATTGGCTGCCTGAGCGCGCTAGACAGCCATGTACAGGTGGCTAAGCTTTGAGGCTAATGTCTGGCATCTGTATGGTAGTGTGCTGTAGTGCTTGAACTAGAGAGCTACTTAAAAACACGATTTATTAAAGGCTTTCCACAATGGAATGTAATTACAAACAAGGGTTGTGGTAACAAAGGTAGGGAGTGCGCTCCGATCTACTTGCGTCCAAGAAGACCTCCGAGAAGACCGCTTCCTCCGTTTCCGCCGAGAACTCCTCCAAGAAGTCCGCCAGCACCTCCATTTCCACCAGTGAGACCACCAGTCAATCCACCGAGAAGTCCTCCTCCATTTCCGCCAAGAAGTCCACCAAGCAGACCGCTGAGAAGGCCAGTATTATTGTCGAGGGCATTTCCGAGAAGTCCAGCAGTCAGACGGCCATTAAGAAGGCTCAGGAGAAGACCATCAACAACACCAGGGGCTCCAGATGGGCCACCGATCAGACCTGAAGATGATCATGTATTTCTCTCTCTACCCCCTAACTACTTACCATCGAGAAGCGGATTTCCGTTGGCTCCAAGAAGATGTCCGAGAAGACCTCCATTTCCAGCCAACCACGTGTCAAGACTAAAGGATACTGTAGCTAGAGCATTCTTTAGTATTCTTACGTGGGAAGGATATCAAAGACACTGCAGAGAAGATCAGACACTTCTCCAAGAAGTCCCTTGTTGACCTTGTCGAGAAGTGGCTCGGCAGTCTGGAGGATTTGAAGGCACAGATTCGTGAAAAGAGCGCTCTTTCCAGCCAGAACACCTAGAAAAGGATGGATTGTTGGTAGATGATCATACCAGAGATGAGGTACTCAGCATCAACATTGAGCACGAGTCCACAGGGGCCATTTGGCACAATCATCAGAGAGGGGATCTCGAGGGTTCCCTTCAGAATATCAAGATGTTCCAGGGTGTAAGCATCAACAGTTTGTCCTCCAATGGTAGTGGTTGTCTTGTTGAGGATACGCAGTTTGGAGACTGAAATAGAAAAGACATTTGTGTGGAAGGGAGTATGACTCACTCCAATCAACAGCACAAGCCAGTGCTTTGATGTCTCCGATTGGGTTGGGGCATTGGAGGCAGTCAGTGGCGGCTTGCTCGTTTGAGCCGAGGCTCAGTTGGGCTACGGTAGCCGAAGCAAGGAGGCACAGGGTGGCGATGCGGACCGTGTACGACATCTTGCTAAAGGGTAGGTTTTTGTAAAGGTATTCGGTTGTGTAGTCAGCTTGCATAGGCAGAATTAGTTGAACTCGAAACCTTTAGTCAAGAGTCCAGTTTTGTATTGCGTTGCTAAACAACCCTGTCAGGAAATTTGAAAGTTCGAGAAACTAGAGGATACATCTAAAGCTACAAGTTTCCGGAGCGAAAGTACTGTAGAACGTGAAAACTGAATTTTTTTGGTTTTGCCTAACCGAGCTAACTTAAATTGGAAGTCGAAAGAAACTTACTGGACTGGAAAGAGTAGATGAAGAGCTGGAAGCTGATGCTGACCAGGGTAAGCCCGTAGCTTTTATACCAATCGGAACGTGTCAAACTTAATCTCCGAGCTTCCACTAACAATGCAGTGTTTTCGAAATCAAATGTCCCAACAAAACAAACGACACGTCTAGCTGAACCCAATCTTGAATATTTTTTGGCGCCCCGCTGTGCCCGTTGGCTACCGTTCAACCCAGGCGGTCAGTCGAACATTGGGTATTTTGGAAAGGCAACGCTGGAACGTGTTTGCCTGGACTTTGGCATTGTCGCAAATTTCAATTTGGCGGCCCAGGGCCGATGGTCGCGATGTCCAAGCCTTGGAAGAACGGCAGACTTGTTTTGCTAAAAGTCGCGGCAAAATAACATGGGTTTTGAATAATGCCATTGTTCGGGCGGAGTATAAAACCGTTCAGTTTGGCAGCAGTGACCATCAGCTTCGAGCTCTTCATCTCTTCTTCTTAACCAAGTAGGTTTACTTACCTTTTTGCATTGAATATCATAGTTGGCTAGCAACATTTCAAAAATAGCGCTTCACGTTATCTAGGAAGTTCTAGAGCTTCGAATAACAGCAAAAACTTCTCGTTTAAACAAGATTTGCTTTAATATCGCATTTTATTGATGATCATTAGCGTCAACAACCTCTAGAGCTTACCCACCCTTTAGCAAGATGTCGTACACGGTCCGCATCGCCACTCTGTGCCTCCTTGCTTCGGCTACCGTAGCCCAACTGAGCCTCGGCTCAAACGAGCAAGCCGCCACTGACTGCCTCCAATGCCCCAACCCAATCGGAGACATCAAGGCACTGGCTTGTGCTGTTGATTGGAGTGAGTCGTACTCCCTTCCACACAAATGTCTTTTTTATTTCAGTCTCCAAATTGCGTATCCTCAACAAGACAACCACTACCATTGGAGGACAAACTGTTGATGCTTACACCCTGGAACATCTTGATATTCTGAAGGGAACCCTCGAGATCCCCTCTCTGATGATTGTGCCAAATGGCCCCTGTGGACTCGTGCTCAATGTTGATGCTGAGTACCTCATCTCTGGTATGATCATCTACCAACAATCCATCCTTTTCTAGGTGTTCTGGCTGGAAAGAGCGCTCTTTTCACGAATCTGTGCCTTCAAATCCTCCAGACTGCCGAGCCACTTCTCGACAAGGTCAACAAGGGACTTCTTGGAGAAGTGTCTGATCTTCTCTGCAGTGTCTTTGATATCCTTCCCACGTAAGAATACTAAAGAATGCACTAGCTACAGTATACTTTAGCCTTGACACGTGGTTGGCTGGAAATGGAGGTCTTCTCGGACATCTTCTTGGAGCCAACGGAAATCCTCTTCTCGATGGTAAGTAGTTAGGGGGTAGAGAGAGAAATACATGATCATCTTCAGGTCTGATCGGTGGCCCATCTGGAGCCCCTGGTGTTGTTGATGGTCTTCTCCTGAGCCTTCTTAATGGCCGTCTGACTGCTGGACTTCTCGGAAATGCCCTCGACAATAATACTGGTCTTCTCAGCGGTCTGCTTGGTGGACTTCTTGGCGGAAATGGAGGAGGACTTCTCGGTGGATTGACTGGTGGTCTCAATGGTGGAAATGGAGGAGCTGGCGGACTTCTTGGAGGAGTTCTCGGCGGAAACGGTGGAAGCGGACTTCTCGGAGGTCTTCTTGGCCGAAAGTAGATCGGAGCACCTTCCCGATTGCAACCCCTTGTTTGTACCTATCATCCAATGTGGAAAGTCTTTCAATAAATCCATTTTTTCTATTACTTAGCCGCAAATTCAAGCAGTAAAGAACGCAGCACTCACTTTGCGGATCCATTTCAAGAACTGATTAATTTCTGACGAATCCACAAGTTCTAGCGGTACAATATACCTGAAATTGTTGCATTTGAAACTTTTCTAAAAGCATACACGGTCAGGAGCCGCTCACCGAACCTGGGCCCTGTACTGAAAATACTTTTTCTAGTCGAGTTTCTTGAACCTCCTCCGGGGAAATACTTTGTTGACTACTTACCAGGCGGATCCCAAATTTCGTAGTTCGGGACTCTCTTAAGGTCGTAAGTTAGGCAAAAATAACAATTTTATTAGCTTTGCTTGAAATTGGCCACACACGGTTCGGTCGATTTTGCAACCCTTTCTCGGCTCGCTATGGGAGCCACAGAGGACTCAGCAAAACAATGCCGACCCTTGTCCCGGCGATCAACGCAGAAGGTTTTGTAGGAACGGTTTCTCGTGCGTTTAACATTAAAAATTTAGAAGAACTGTGCGGCCTAAGGGTGATGGTTCGGTGGTGCAGATCTATCACCCGTACTAAAAATGGGAAGAGCGTGGTGGGGTAGCAGGTTGCATTCCAGTCGAGCGGGTGCGCGTGTGTTTTGACGTACCGCTACCGTATCGCCGTTCGGCTTTCGTTGCAACAATGCTAATTCCGTTTTCTCTTTTCGTCCCCTGTGTCTGCAAGTCGTTCCATAAAAAACAACGCCCACGACATTTCTTCGGGTTATACCCCAATCGGTCCCCAAATTGGACTAGAGTTGGACTACCCTAACTACCTGTTAAACCTAACTTTTCAAAGAACCTAGATGACTGATTTCTTTTCCAAAAAGCATCTAAAATTTTTGGTTATATTATAATATTCAATGAGGGCCAAAAATGGGAAACATTTTCTCGCTCGGCCACATCCGCAGCAATCAAAACTGAATGTATCCAGCATTTAGCTTGCCAGATACCTGCAACCTTAAAAACTATCAGATTCTACTGGTTTTGACACCCATCCACAGAGCGTCCAAAAATCTACCAGTTACAGCCGCAGCAGAAAAATATCCGAATATTATAGCACAGGCAAAAACAAAAATTTCGTCCGTTAATTAGCCGTTAATTTTCGGAAGTTTTGCTCAATTTTTCAAGCTTTTTTTGTATGTTTGTTAACTAACTTCAGCTCAGTTAATTTATTTTGGTAAGCTTTCAACAAATAGATATCAGAGCATCAGATCTAAATAGATAGAACAACGGGTTTTAGCATTCCCTCCAATAAATTACTAAAATTTTTGGCATCTGAAGAAACTATTTTCCCGGTTTAGATTTTATGATAGAAATTAGCTCAAAACAGAGCGCAAAGCCGGCCTAGATTACGGTACCCCCGGGCCGGCAGAACCGAATCTGAACCTCAGCAATCGAATGTGTGAAGTCAGCTATTCCTTTTGCCTTTCTGTTTTTTTTGACACCGATCCATCATCAGATCCCCATCAGCCGTTCAAAATGGCGCCGCAGGTTTTCAAACGAAGCTAGACGCTCAAGCTAGCGCCGCAAGCTTTAGAACGAAGCTAGCCGCTCAAGCTAGCGCCGCAGGCTTTAGAACGAAGCTAGCCGTATAAGCTTGGCCCGCAGGATGAGGTAGCGACCTAGTCGATCAAACATGCGCCGCAGGTCTAATAACGACACTAACAGTTCAAGTTTGCGCAGCATGCCAATACAATGAGGTTTTAATGGGAGATGCGTTTTTCTTTCTTCAGTGTAACTTTATGTGGAAGGGCGCTCGACTCATAGGGTCTAGACGGGGTCCAGTGGGGGAGAGTCGCGAAGCGGCTCCTCCCCCTGCTGGTTAGGTATATAAAAACTAGTGTGTGTGCATTTGCATGCAACTTCCGTCTGTATGTTCCAGTCGTATCTCGATAGAGGAGGCAAATAACATATATCTGCACATGTTTCTGCTTGAACCTTGCGGCTAAATAAAAAATCGATTTATTGACAGGCTTTCCACAATGGAATGTAAATACAAACAATGGGGGCTAATCGGGAAGGTGCTCCGATCTACTTGCGTCCAAGAAGACCTCCGAGGAGCCCGCTTCCGCCGTTTCCGCCGAGAACTCCTCCAAGAAGTCCGCCAGCTCCTCCATTTCCGCCAGTGAGACCACCAGTCAATCCACCGAGAAGTCCTCCTCCATTTCCGCCAAGAAGTCCACCAAGCAGACCGCTGAGAAGGCCAGTATTATTGTCGAGGGCATTTCCGAGAAGTCCAGCAGTCAGACGGCCATTAAGAAGGCTCAGGAGAAGACCATCAACAACACCAGGGGCTCCAGATGGGCCACCGATCAGACCTGAAGATGATCATGTATTTCTCTCTCTACCCCCTAACTACTTACCATCGAGAAGCGGATTTCCGTTGGCTCCAAGAAGATGTCCGAGAAGACCTCCATTTCCAGCCAACCACGTGTCAAGGCTAAAGGATACTGTAGTTAGAGAATTCTTTAGTATTCTTACGTGGGAAGGATATCAAAGACACTGCAGAGAAGATCAGACACTTCTCCAAGAAGTCCCTGGTTGACCTTGTCGAGAAGTGGCTCGGCAGTCTGGAGGATTTGAAGGCACAGATTCGTGAAAAGAGCGCTCTTTCCAGCCAGAACACCTAGAAAAGGATGGATTGTTGGTAGATGTTCATACCAGAGATGAGGTACTCAGCATCAACATTGAGCACGAGTCCACAGGGGCCATTTGGGACAATCATCAGGGATGGAATCTCGAGGGTTCCCTTCAGAATATCAAGATGTTCCAGGGTGTAGGCATCAACAGTTTGTCCTCCAATGGTAGTGGTTGTCTTGTTGAGGATACGCAGTTTGGAGACTGAAATAGAAAAGACATTTGAGTGGAAGGGAGTATGACTCACTCCAATCAACAGCACAAGCCAGTGCTTTGATGTCTCCGATTGGGTTGGGGCATTGGAGGCAGTCAGTGGCGGCTTGCTCGTTTGAGCCGAGGCTCAGTTGGGCTACGGTAGCCGAAGCAAGGAGGCACAGGGTGGCGATGCGGACCGTGTACGACATCTTGCTAAAGGGTGGGTAAGCTCTAGAGGTTGTTGACGCTAATGATCATCAATAAAATGCGATATTAAAGCAAATCTTGTTTAAACGAGAAGTTTTTGCTGTTATTCGAAGCTCTAGAACTTCCTAGATAACGTGAAGCGCTATTTTTGAAATGTAGCTAGCCAAACTATGATATTCAATGCAAAAAGGTAAGTAAACCTACTTGGTTAAGAAGAAGAGATGAAGAACTCGAAGCTGATGCTCACTGCTGGCAAACTGAACGTTTTATACCCGCTCCGAACAATGGCATTATTCAAAACCCATGTTATTTTGCGCGACTTTTAGCAAAACAAGTCTGCCGTTCTTCCAAGGCTTGGACATCGCGACCATCGGCCCTGGGCCGCCAAATTGAAATTTGCGACAATGCCAAAGTCCAGGCAAACACGTTCCAGCGTTGCCTTTCCAAAATACCCAATGTTCGACTGACCGCCTGGGTTGAACGGTAGCCAACGGGCACAGCGGGGCGCCAAAAAATATTCAAGATTGGGTTCAGCTAGACGTGTCGTTTGTTTTGTTGGGACATTTGATTTCGAAAACACTGCATTGTTAGTGGAAGCTCGGAGATTAAGTTTGACACGTTCCGATTGGTATAAAAGCTACGGGCTTACCCTGGTCAGCATCAGCTTCCAGCTCTTCATCTACTCTTTCCAGTCCAGTAAGTTTCTTTCGACTTCCAATTTAAGTTAGCTCGGTTAGGCAAAACCAAAAAAATTCAGTTTTCACGTTCTACAGTACTTTCGCTCCGGAAACTTGTAGCTTTAGATGTATCCTCTAGTTTCTCGAACTTTCAAATTTCCTGACAGGATTGTTTAGCAACGCAGTACAAAACTGGACTCTTGACTAAAGGTTTCGAGTTCAACTAATTCTGCCTATGCAAGCTGACTACACAACCGAATACCTTTACAAAAACCTACCCTTTAGCAAGATGTCGTACACGGTTCGCATCGCCACCCTGTGCCTCCTTGCTTCGGCTACCGTAGCCCAACTGAGCCTCGGCTCAAACGAGCAAGCCGCCACTGACTGTCTCCAATGCCCCAACCCAATCGGAGACATCAAGGCACTGGCTTGTGCTGTTGATTGGAGTGAGTCGTACTCCTTTCCAGACAAATGTCTTTTCTATTTCAGTCTCCAAACTGCGTATCCTCAACAAGACAACCACTACCATTGGAGGACAAACTGTTGATGCTTACACCCTGGAACATCTTGATATTCTGAAGGGAACCCTCGAGATCCCCTCTCTGATGATTGTGCCAAATGGCCCCTGTGGACTCGTGCTCAATGTTGATGCTGAGTACCTCATCTCTGGTATGAACATCTACCAACAATCCATCCTTTTCTAGGTGTTCTGGCTGGAAAGAGCGCTCTTTTCACGAATCTGTGCCTTCAAATCCTCCAGACTGCCGAGCCACTTCTCGACAAGGTCAACCAGGGACTTCTTGGAGAAGTGTCTGATCTTCTCTGCAGTGTCTTTGATATCCTTCCCACGTAAGAATACTAAAGAATGCTCTAGCTACAGTATCCTTTAGCCTTGACACGTGGTTGGCTGGAAATGGAGGTCTTCTCGGACATCTTCTTGGAGCCAACGGAAATCCGCTTCTCGATGGTAAGTAGTTAGGGGGTAGAGAGAGAAATACATGATCATCTTCAGGTCTGATCGGTGGCCCATCTGGAGCCCCTGGTGTTGTTGATGGTCTTCTCCTGAGCCTTCTTAATGGCCGTCTGACTGCTGGACTTCTCGGAAATGCCCTCGACAATAATACTGGCCTTCTCAGCGGTCTGCTTGGTGGACTTCTTGGCGGAAATGGAGGAGGACTTCTCGGTGGATTGACTGGTGGTCTCAATGGTGGAAATGGAGGAGCTGGCGGACTTCTTGGAGGAGTTCTCGGCGGAAACGGTGGAAGCGGACTTCTCGGAGGTCTTCTTGGCCGAAAGTAGATCGGAGTGCACTCCAAAGTACCACAACCCTTGTTTGTATTTACATTCTATGGTGGAAAGCCTTGCAATAAATCCATTTTTTTTAATAGGATACCTATTCACATGGCAAAAACAGACAATAGAGAATAATTTCTAAACTTTCATTCAAAGTTAAATGCACGGTAATCGGAGTGGTAAATGGCTCGGACAATCTTTTCGGTTCTAGAGTTTGAAAGCAGCTCTTTCTTCATCTCGACCTTTTTGCTAGCGCTCTTCATGGCATGCAACGTGCTTGACATGGTCAGGTGGTTTAGCGCCTAAAACTCTGTGTTTCAAGTAATATTTTTGAGGTTTGACCCGTTCAGAGGCGGCTCGCGGGACCTCAGCTTTGTCGAAAATATTTAGGAATTGGCGTCGCATGTCTTCGCGATCTTCGGAGTAGTAGATGACCTCGTACTTTTTGTGGTCCTGGTAGAGGCCGCAGAATCTGAAGGTAGTACGTTGCGAAATTGTGGGGTACCTGGATACCGTTAAAGTCAGCTAACGGAATGAATAATGAAAATGAGAACAAATAGAATGAAAAAGCTTACTTAGACAAATCCTGGATATAATTAATGTAATTGGTTTTGATTTTAATTGATTCTAAATCAAAATTTTTTGAGAAGGTAATTGTCATAATTTTGAAAGCAGGGTAGTATTGACGACAGAGATGCTCTAATGAATGCCTCTTACTCGGTATGCGGAAAAGCGTGAAGCCTGACGATCGGATTCTCGGTGACAAACGACATGTGCCCGGTGTAGGATAGATAGACATCTTCGGCAAATTGATGAATCGTCTTGTCGCCGCACTGGCTGTTGGTACTAAATCAAAACTTCTATACCACTTTTTCTGTATAAACCTACACGCAAAAATGGCCATAAATTGACACGAATCGATCGATCGGATCTCGCACAACCGTAAAGAGTAGTGGCGGGTTTTTCACCGGCCATGTGGCAATGCCGTTGTGGATGAAGCTGTCGTTGAGGAAGCATGGGCTAAAACATTGAAATTATTGGTTTCCGAATTGGCGATGCTTTGGTAAACGAAGCCTACTTTGCCCCATCCAGGCCTGCATCGAATTTCTGCTCAAACTGGATGCCATGCAACATCCGGAGGAGGTCGCAAAGAATTGTGTGGATGATGGTAGAGCCAGTTTTGGGGACTCGGCAGTAGGTGAGGCCGATTCCGGTGTCGTTCTAAACGTGGGTAAGGCTCTTGGTATTGGACTATTAGCGGGGGGGTGATATTTTTATACGACAGCTAATAGCTAATTTGATTTTTGGCCTATCCTTTACTGTTAGGAACTAGATTTGGTTGTAATAGCGTTTTTAGAAGTTTCTGAATGTCAGGAACTCCCAAAATTCGTATATCTTTTGAAAATTCAAAAATTGTTATAATTTTTTGGCGTAATTTTTATATCTAAAATGGATTTAAACTGCTATAAAGATCAGTTCTCTTCCCTTAGAGGTTTGCGGTATTAGTTCAGACAAATGGATTCCACCCCCCCCCTAACAGCCCAATACCGGTATCTTACATTGTAAATATACACAATAAATTTTCAAAAAATGTAGAACATTCTGGTTTAAAAGCTCACCAACGCTTTTGGAATTGTCAAATTTAGCTCGAGATCATGAATCGGCTCCGTGGCTTCGATGCGCTGTAGTAGAATTACAGGCGTCTTTTCCGTGATTTCCCTGTGTTCAGAGCTCTAAAAAACAACTATAAAAATAGTGTGAAAATCTTTGAACACCCATTAAAAATCCCAACCTTCCATGCCGGCGCTGAATCCAGAATCCCTTTTTGGTGTACCGTCACCAAATTCTCTTCTGTCGTTAGTAGCAGCCCGGAGCCCAGGTAAAGTACACAGGCCGCCAAGATAAAACCCGCAAAGTACGTTGTATTCCGGAATGCCGGCGATGTGGAGTGTTTTTGGAGTAGCGGAACGGACAGGTAAGAGTCCATTCTAAAAAATCTAACTGTTGGCATTGGCCTGAAAATTGGCCGAGAAGGCTCCAAAATAAGCCAATAAAACCCCGGGAATCGATTTAAAACGTGGCCAACATGAGGGCTGGAGCGGAACAGGTATTGCCGGAAAGGTGGATCGAAAATTGTACGCCGGCGCGGGGCGTGGAGGTGGTCAGGCCGTACGTGGGGGCACCGCCGATACAATCGCCCGCACTTTCGAGCCCAGCATCCAGCAGTTTCGATCCGCCGTCGGGTACCTAGAGACTTTCCAGGAGCAATCCAGGCCCACCCAAATCTGATCGTCTCGCCTTGGGCATCCATGAAAACACCGCGCTTCTGGAGCTACATGCCGGATACGATGAGGCATCGGACGGAGAAGATGTCGAACCGGGTTGGGTTGACGATTATTGCGTGCAGGTTGGTCGTTTGATGGGGTTTAACTTATGTAAATTATTACAGAATAAAGTTCTCGACAAACTAAATTTTTGCCGAGTTTAAATAAATTTGTGTTTTTGCATTATCGGGGGGAACTAAGTTTTTTATGCACAGAAATTCCTAGCAACGTAATAATAAAAATTTGGTAGTGTTCTTGGAAAAATGAAACTATATTACTTGTAAAAATTTACCCGAAAAAGGTTCGACATTATAAAAATTAGATTTTTGGTACTCTTTAGCGCAAATGTATTACTTATAGCGAAAAATGGGTTCCTAAAGAGAAAACGTTGGTAACTCTATCACCCACGACAATGCGAAAATACCACATTAAACCTGACTGGTTTACAGCATTCAGGAAAACAGTTTTCGTTTAAGATATCGTTTTCAAGGTTTGTAATTTTTCATTTTGGCCGTGCTAATAGCTACAAATTAAATCAATTGCAGCAACCCTGGAAAAACCATTATTTAGCCTCGGTATCGTGTTCTTCGTCGCCTGTCGCTCGGCATTAAATTCGTTGGAAAATGATGAACCGAACGTGCTTGCGGGGTTTGTTGCGATACCTTAAAAGCCATTGAATCTGGAAATATTTAGTTTTGAGTACGATCCGAATGACAATCGATACCTAGAAGCTACCATTGGGTCTACATGCAAAGAGGTACAAATCAAACTATATTTTGATCAGCACAGACCTGAAAATCCATTTTTTAAAAATTTAACAAAATCTTATTTAAATTTAATTTTAAATTATAATTGCCTGACTATGCTCTAATTTAGCGAACAACAAATGTATTAATTCCAGGTAGCCGTAAACTGGCAAAACGTCCATCTATCCGGGCCCATGAAGAACAAGACGCGGAAACCGAGCGAAAAGTTGCTGCCAGATTTTAGCCTCTACGGAAGGGTTGCTGTCTATCCAGAGTACGCCTAAAACTGGTTCTTTAGGATTTCCGGGGGAACCAAATTTTTTCGGCCCAAGCCTAAATTTTTTTCTAAATAGCGCATGCGTTTCTAAATGGTTTTTAACTATTCCTGAGCATAAAAACTACCCACATTTTAATTAAAAAATTTAATTTTAGGGCGAAAAATCCTATAGAACCTTTAGGATTAGCGGCGGGAAGACCCAAAATGACCAATTTTCGACTTTTTTAAACATTTTTCCAACTTTTTTGAAAGGTTTTTCTACTTTAAATATAGTTTAAATTTACTAAAAACAATGTGAAAACAGTTTATATTTGATTACTAGGTCAACCGGGAAAACCAGGAAAAATTTGGTTCCCCCCGGAAATACTTTCCCCCCCCCCCCGGAAATCCTAAAGAACCCTAAAACTTAATACCAGTTTTCGTTTACAGCAATAAAATGGAAACCCTACGAACGGATCGATTGTTTTGGGATGATATTGACACTCGGATTGGGTTGAGCCGGAGGGAGGCGTTGGCCAAAAATGATCATGGCGGATTTGGGGGTATGTTAATCTTTATCTGATTTGTAGCTTTCCCAGATTGTTACCCGCAAAAAAATCAGTAAATATTTTTAGTGGATCCTTAAAATCTTTTATTTCCAGAAGCGGCGTTGGAGGCTTTTGACCAATATCGGCATTATATCAACGGCAAACGTGGAGGGGTTATTAATGCGCCGACATCTTGGGTAAATAAAAAAATTATTTGCTATTTGGGCTCCGTTTTTACAATTTCTGAAGCTCGGCGAGCTAGCGGGGCTTCCTTAAGAATTTTTGACGCCTACAACTCAATTTTTCAGGTCGAAGCAGCAGCGTTCCGGCACGGCGCGGCTTCGGTGATGTCGATTGGGTACCGGCAAGTGGAAATCCAGGCGGGTTAAGGATGCTATGTAGATATATATAATAAATTACATTATCATCAAGCGGCAATTTTAGTCAGCCAACAACCTGACCTTCATGCACCCGCTGGACATTTGCAAGCAGCAGCGAGAGTGGGTTTTAATGCCCCCGGTTTAACAATTTTTAGCACGGTGAATTCGCTCGATTTCGCGGCGGCTTTCACGACAATTGAGAGGAGCGGGCTTGGCAGGTAGATAAGATCAAAAGAAAATAGCTTAATACGGTCAACGATTAAATCTACGTCATCTCACAAGCGCTCTAAATAAATTAAATTAAATAAATTTATTTCCGAGTGTTTTTTTAGGACGAAAAACGGCATCAATCCCAGCATTTTTCTGAATTTAAACCTGTAATTTTATGACACTTTTCTGCATGGTAAGCTATCTTACAACAATTTTCCAGGTTCAACGAGGCCCTCGACCCGTGGGGCGATTTGCGTATGATGGCCATGGTGCGGTGTCTGCTCAAATTTGACGGAATTTTTGTCCTCGGTGTGCCGTTGGGTATGTTTTTATTATATCTTATTGCCTCTCGGTTTTAGTGATATCCATATTTTTTTAGGCGAAGACGCGTTGTTCTGGAATTCTCACCGAACCTACGGATCGTTGAGGTTGTCCTGGTTAGTGAGAGGTAAGCCTTTATCACAAATGGAAATCGACAAACATACTCTTTGAACTTATTTCTTTTGACTTGGCCGTTATACTCTATACTTTATACTTTATAGGCTACAAACTCCTCGGGTCGGTCTGGGTGGAAGATGGAGAGCGGAAAAGCTCACGAGGAATTCCGCAGAAATTCCTGACCCGAGCGGAAGGCGATAAGATTATGCCGGCCATCATTTTACAAAAGGTTTTGTAGAGATGGGAGGTAGGAGAGGATTAATAAATATATATTCGATGAATGTAGATAAAAGAGGCTCGAAAAACATTCTTCAGAAAGTTTTAACGGTTCTCTTAAATACCCCGAAACAGTCAGACAGAAAAGCAAGACGACAAAAATAATTTTAAATATTAAAGAATACGCAAATAATAACTATGGTAAAATAAGACCAGGGCACTATTATTTTTGCCTTGATGTGGCCTTTCCAAACCCCTATTAGATTGATAAAGAAAGCAAGATGATCCAGGGGAACCAAAAATGAGCCCCCCGATACGATGATCGATCATTTGTACTGAAAATGGAATGAGCGCCTGGCGGACATACGATTCCGGTTGGTAGCCTTCGGAAAAATGTCGGAGCTGCTCTAGGGGGGTTTGTTCTAGCGGTACCGTATGTTCAAGAAATTTGCTTTTGCGTTCGATTAAAGTTTTGATTAGCTATGAAAAGTGCTTGGTTACTATTTTTCTTGCTGTTGTCATTATATACTCTTAATGTTAAGTATGCTGTCTTACAACGAGTGTTTTTTTAGTCATCGGCTAAACCTTACGCGACCTAGCTCTTCCGATAGAGGATTGAAGTCTGAACAAGATTCCGTTGTTTGGTTTTGCGAAATAGCTGTCTCCGAAAATGTAGAAATATTCATAAATTTAAAAAACTAGTGACCGTCCGTTCCGATGAGTGCCCTTCGAGCAAAAAGAGAGGCCTTGGGGTGCATTTTTAAAAATTTATAAAATCAAGGATAACTATTCCGCAAAAAAGGATAACGTAGACTTGTTGAGAATCGAATTCTGTATCGAATGAGCTAGGGTCATAAGGCTCAAAAAACACTCCTGGTTAGCGGCAATAGGTTTCTACTACCTGATCCACTCGAAGACAAAGCGAAATATGCTTTATTTAATTTGATCTGTTCGTATCTAGCACGATAAATTTAAAGTCCTCTAACGAACCCACAACCTATAATCTATAATTCTGACTTGCCGGTCCCTTTGAGCTGCCAGAAATTTTACCCTACCATGTTCCGCAGCCGTATCAACCATCCACCGTACGTCCGATCAGTTAGGCGAATCCACTCCGGAGCACCGTCAATGAACCTCCAGCATTTTCCCCAGGCAATCTGATGCCTTTGCTAGGATTTTGCTTTTCTGTTTGTGTGAGGATCTATCAGCAAGTGACAGACAGTTTGCCTGGGAGTTTTTGGCATCGGCTGGATTTTGCGGCACGTATATAACCCGGGGAAGGAGAATGACGGACCGGGTTACGGTAGTCGTCGGAAAGGGAAAGCCAATAAATTCTCTGAAACTAATAAAAAGCGACATTCACCATGAAATATGGATTTTTGCAGCTGCTTTATTTTGCTGGCGTCAGTTTTGCAAGTAAGCTGGGTGCTGAGAGCTGTTCTATTACCGGGGGGGGGGGGTTTGTACCGTATTAAACGAAGTTTAATCGCTAGAAATTTTCGATTCTGGGTTTTACGATTTCGTTACACTTTTTTTTCTGAATTAAGGCGACGCATATGCTAGCTATTTTGTTGACGTAAACTTTACAAGTAAACTGCGAGATAGGAGCTGTTCTATTAACGGGGGGAGGGGGTGGGGTTTTGTACCTTATTCAAGGGGACCAGAATTCCTAAAAAAATGTGCATTCCATCACGCTCTGTCCCACATATTTTTCCTTTCCAGTCGAAGATGTCTGGCTGGGGCTCCAGGTCAGGAGCATGGTAAGGTGATGTTTTCGATCCTTTAGCGAGCGTTTAGAAAGAAACCGGCATCGGCCTCGAATTTTGTAAAATTCCAAAAACCGGCTCAACGATCGTGGGCAACATTCTATGCGATGTGATTCGAGAATACCATGGGATCACCTACGCGCAGAATATCTCCGACAGGCTGGATGGGGAATTGTGGGTGTTAAATCGCTATCAATTGTTAAGAATTTTGGTGTCGAAAATCCTACCTTATATAATTTGGTCGCGTATCTTTGTCTGTGTGTGTGTGTGTGCGGAGGTCAGTTTCGAGGCCCGATTTGAAGGACTTCCCGTGTCCAAAATGCCATAATTCTCCGTCACCCGGGGGAATCGACCCTTCTCTTCTCCGATGACGTTTTCAGAATCCCGATAAAATACAAGTTTACAAAGTTAAAGCCGGTTTTGATTTTTGGGGGTCCGGGAGGGCTAATTTGCATAATGTGAAAAAAAATGCAAATTCTCTCATTCTTGCCAGTTGCACTCGCGAGTTTGGTCGGTGGGGGTCCGCAAGACCCGAGCTATCGGAAAGTCAAATTTGCCATGCAGAAGACGCAATCCAGCGCCCAAGGCCCGCGAAGCGGGTTTTGGGCGCTGGTAGTTAATAATATTACAAAGACGATTTACACGAACTATGCCTTTTTAAATGTTGCATTTATTAAGGGGACAAATTTTACGATTTATTGATCGGGAATAGACTACCGTTTTTATGCAACCAAATTCCAAAAAATAGGCTTTAAAATTAAATAAAAATCAAATATTTTAATTTTTTTTATTGCCTATATATTTGATTTTAAATTACATAAATGTTTTTATTTTCTAAAATATATTACAAGTAAAATTTATTAACTAAAATCTAATAAATATTTAATATTTTAATTTAATATTTAATATTTTAATATTTTAATATTTTACGGTATAATTTAAGGAAATCAGTCAGAAAATTCGCATGATCAAAAGAAAATATATAGAATACGATCTCTGTCGGCTTCGTAAGCGCAATTTCTCTGATCCGGCTAAGTTTTCTAATAATTCTGTTGTAAAATTCAGCCCCTGCTTTGCCCACAACACCTTCAAAAGATTCAATAACGGCGTGGCAAAATGGAAACTGCAGAAAAAGATAAAATTCGCCGTCGTCCGAGACCCCATCGATCGTTTTGTATCGATGTACGGCCATTTCTGCTTGTGAGTTATTGCTGGACGCCTTCACCAGGTTCAGGCTCTTACGAAAATGCCAAGGCCGCGACATTCACGAATTTGCCGAGAAGGTGCACGACGCACTAATGCATCGAATCTCATTTGTGAATCGTGATCCCGATATCAAACTTCATGTGCTGCCTCAAGCCGAGTCGGTTTTGTCAATTTTTTCCCTTATCTACCTTGCTTTTCAGTTTCTGTGATCTGGGCAGCAACCTGGAGCAGTACGAGGTCATCTACTGGTCTGAGGATCGTCTGAAAATGAAGAAACAATTTGAGGGGCTATTTGAAAAGGCGGGAGTACCAAAGGAAATTGTCGCAAAGGTAATTAAAAAATTCTTTTGACAATTTTCCGAATTTTTAGGTCTTGCGACACTTGACCGAGTCAAGCACGGCGCATGCGCAGAGGGACAACGACCGAAAATCGAGGTTGAAAGCGGCGATTGTGGAAACGCCGAGTACCGCGCGGCTAGTGCGCGCCATTTACTATGCCGATTATTTGGTGTTTAATTTCAAGTAGCTTTCACAAATTTATAAATCTTCAAAATTTATGATTGATTGAATCTGGCGGTTCGAAAGGGAAAAAGTGGATGCCCCAAAAATCGCATTTTTGGGAATAATTTGTGCAAAAATACGGTAGTTTTACGTGCAGCACGTGTTGGCACATACAATAGGGAAGCGGATGTGTGGCCCGGTGCGCCGCCGAGCCAGCGCGTAGATCGTATCGTGCGCTGCTGGCAGGTCCGGCTCTGATCTTTCGAAGTTTGACCTCGGCAACACTACCCCCGTTGAGTGCTACTTCCTCCTTGAGCCTGGGTAGTTGTGTAGTTTTTTGTGATTTCCGGTTTCTGTCAAAACCTGTATAACAGAGGTCTCTACAGGGTGTCCCCTATAAAAAGGCCCCTCTAACTCGACGCAGAAGTATCGGAGCGTAATAATAGTAACACCATTCGAAAGCCCTTGAAACGGCGAGTTTGCAACAACTTTTAAAACAATGTTTTTATTTAAACTCGCCATTTTAAAAGCCATTTTGTAAAATTTTACCGCTGTTCGCGCTTGCATACGAGCTAATTTGCCTAAAATTCTCCAAACAAAATGACCGTAGGTAGCCGTTGATTAGACGCAGAGGCCGTTGCTTTATGTGTTTTGGGCGTTGTAAAGTTCCACGTTTAAATAAAAATATGGTTTTAAATTTGTTGCAGTCTCGGCGTTTGATGGGCTTTCGAATGGTGTAACTACCATTTCGATCCGAAAGTTCTGCGTCGAGTTAGAGGGGAATGTTTTTTTATTAGGACACCCTGTAGACCATGTAATGTACTTGTTGGTTTGAAAGGAAGATTTCTTACACAAAAACGCTTTATACGATCCAGGCATTTCCATAGTATCCTTGATGAGGCAATTTTTTTAAGACGTCGGTCGTTTGGCTAAATTTATGGATAGAAACGTACTATTGATACTGCTATCGATACTACTAATGATGTGGTCGGCTTATAGCTGTTTTTCTAAGATACCGTAATCTTTACAGCAATTGCAAGCGTCCCTTTGCATCGCTTTTTCTAAAATTACGTTGTTACGTTTCTAAAATGAAGTCCAATTGAGTTTATAAAATCTAGTAAGCTATGCGAAAAATCGAGCACTCGGGTTGAGTTCTAGATGTACGCAGATCGGCGGCCTTCCCGATTTCAGTCTCAGATAACACCGATCGGGGTCCATTTCTGTGCATCGCGGCTTGAAAACTGCACACTCTCTGTTGCAGGGCTCTTGCCCTTAGCTACCGTAACCCTCCGTCAGCCATCCCAGGGCGCTAAAACTCTTTTTAGGCGTTTGCGATAATTTAAAAGCAAAAGCTCAATAAGTGCTCAATCTACTGTATTTCCTAGGATTGCCTGAATTTTTTTTATTTATGTATTCTTTCAATACCGGGTCTGGCGCCAAATCTTTGAAAACAATTTTTTATCCAATAGTTTTTACATGATTTTACAATGTTAGACTTGCCTGGGCATCTGTATTGGGACAAAGTGTGTATTCCTCCGTCTATCCCCAGCTATCATCTGTCATTTGAGAAACGTGGATATCCAATCTGATCCGTCCAACTGATCAATCATACCATCCGCCCCGTGTTTTTCGAGTTCTCCCCCCCGTCCCTGGAGCGGGCTTGTGCCGGGTGATCAAAAATCCGGATCCCAGGTACTACAGTCCGCCCAGCCAAAAACATTATCTCCCCAGAATGCAGTGCGGTTCGGAGGGATAATAGCTTTTACTAGGGACTCTCGAATAATCTGGGGCCAGAATTGGCTCGAATTTTCACATAGATGAAGCGGCTGATGCCGATGAACGTCGGGATTCTCGAATTTGCTACGCGTCTTTAAAAACAAAGATTCCGGTTTCTATGCTGCTTAGCACCCCTGGAAGCAATTAGGATATCACCGTCTTTTTTTAGGTACCAAGCTAGTATGAACAGCCAATTTTTTTTCGAGAATTATTCTGATTTGATCGGTATAATTTCTTAGTATCTACAGGGTGTCCCAAAAAAAGCACGCTAAGCATACATCCGGTCAATTCCATACTTTGCACAAGGGTGTATCGGATCAGAAATAACCACAATCCTGAGTTATAGCCCGATCGCTACAGTAGTTTTTAAGTTATCGCCAAAATGCTCTTTTTACCCGATTCTTAACAATTTTTTTCGGCCATTTTTTTGGCCTTTGCATCGATTTGCATCAACTTCCGGCTGCGAATTCCTAATTTCGCTTAATATCGGGGTGACTTTGAGTTACAAAATTGTTGAAATCAAGAGTTATTCGATTAATTTTCATCAGGTGAAAATTTCTAGGGGTCAAGAAGGCCTGCCGCTTTATTTCATTTCATATTTGAAGGGTCGATTCGGACGAAATCTTTATGAAAAACGCATTACCATTTTTTTCACTGTATCTTGAAAATTACTGTAGCTCGCGGGCGATAAGTCAGGATTGTGGTTATTTAGGGTCTAATGCACCCCTGGTCAAATTTTGGAACCGATAGGATGTAATATGGCGAAATGCGGGGGGTGCTTTTTTTATAGGACACCCTGTAAATTCATCAAATTCACCAAATCCAAGACATGGGAATGTCGAACGTCTTCGACTCTATTTATATGTGCAAATTCAAGAACAATTTCGGTAGATTTTTTGGGAAGGGCGGGATCCAAAATCATGCAATTAAGACACTAACCAGTATTTTGATTGCAAGAATATTGTCAGCTACGGAAACAAGTTTGAAACGGACCGCTGTTCAATTCCATCATTTGCCATTTCAAAATTTTACCGATAATTTATTCAGCATTTAATACATCTTTGGCATCAATGTTTAAGCGTATGGTTTAAGGCTTTCTCGACGGCTCGCTGGAACGGCTTCTCAATTCGCCCGAGTCCCACATCCGTCAGGTGACAAGTGTTGTCAAAGTAGGCGAGCTTCCGAATTTTGTCGTAGGTTTTGAGGATTTGGTTCTGGTGGTCTAAATTTTAATTGCCTTTGATGGATAGAACCTGTATAAAATTATTTCATTAATATTTTTAACGTATCCAAAAAATCTCTGATGGTTCGCGCCGTAGCTTACCTATAAACGGTTCCGACAAATCGATAGGGTAGCAATTTTTGCATCTATTCAATACATTTCTTAGGCGTTTTCGTGGATTCGAGGTAAGAAAGGCTGGTTCCTAAATGTCAATGTTTTCATTTTCATTTTCATTTTCAAGTTGCAGATTTTCAAGAACATCAATTTTTTATTTTTGAGAAAGGGCGTTTTTGCGCTTTGTAATTGTTAGCCAATTAGATAACCCTAGATCCGTAAGCTCCTACATCATATTTGAAGTCTAGCGTCGATACATTGCCATTTTTCTCCAAAACATCAATGAATCTATTCAGATAGTCCATTTTGTAACCATCACATTTATAGGGGCTGTCGAGTTCGAGGAAAAGCTTTTTCGTCGTTTTGCTAAAACATGATTGTTGCTAAAAGTTACGTAATACTTAAAGTACCTCATTCTGCCAATTCCAGCCCTATATCTTTCCAGAATTTCATCATCCCGTCTTTTGACATATCGATAGTCCTGGAGCTCCAGTACATATCTTAAAGTTACTTTTATTGTTCCAAGCTGAAGGATCACTTTTTTTCTTTATTAATAGTTTTGTGAATCTTTTTTAATTTAATTTTAATTTTTAATTTTACCGCAACAAAACAAATATGTAATCCGGTTGCAGCCCTTCCAGGTAGCTCATCACGAATTCGGTCTCGGCTAAAATGATTAATTTTGCATGGTTTTGTTTCGGTTATTACGATCTTGTTGATGGATGCCGATACAGTGACCAGCTAGTGAGAATAAGTCCATAGAACTGGTAGTGGAGGGCGGAAACAGCTTTCGGACAATCTGAAGCCAAAGTACAAAATTTGATTGCGCTACCCAATATCACACGCGTAGTCCTTAAATTAAAAAAAAGGCTTGATTGCAGTTTACCCCCCCCCCTCCCCAGCCGACCCCCACCTACCGTATCTCGGCTCCCTGTTCATCTACAGGTGTGTAAATTATACAAAAATGGGCTTCTTGCTCTGGCGAGTATTTTGGTACACTTTACACACCTGTAGATGTACAGGGAGCCGAGAAACAAAAGTTGGATGCCAGCCGGGGGGTGGTGGGGGGGGGGGGGTAAACTGCCCTCTAACTTTAAAAAAAGAAACATATTTGCTGCTTAAGTTTAGGTTCAAAATACAAACCCGGGGCCTGACTTACATGCGCTTGTTGCGTTGCCCAAGAATTTCCAATGATCACGATCTTCAAAGAGCCGGTGTTATTCTAGAAGTAGGTAATGCATGATGTAAGTCTAAGAATCGTTACCTCATAATTGTGGCTATTTTTATCGGCCAAAGGTCCATTAAATGGGCTTACCTGATATGAATAATGTCCAAAAGGGGGTTTGCTTTTCCCAAAGCCATCATCTATAAATTTTCCTCCTGCCAGTCGATATACACTATTCCGGAATTTCGCATTCGCAGCGATTGTCGCATTCTCAACTAAACAGTACTATGGCTAAGTTATCGCTAGATTATGGAATTTAATGACCCAGAAATACAGTATCTCGCAACTGATTCCTATCTCTCTCGATCTCTCTCTCTCTCTCGCTCTCGCTCTCTCTCTCCGCTCTCTTGCAATCTGTCTTTCCTCTTGACAATCTCCGATTACCCGCATTTCCGAATTTGAATTCGGCGGAGTCAAGCCAATCACACTTATGGATAACTTTCACTGACCACATCCCGGCTTCACGATCCATTCCCGCGTCCAGAAGAGCAACCAGCAGATCAGGAAATATTTCAAAGTATTATATGCATTATCATAAAGCCCGAATTTCAGAAGAGGTTTCTCGTAGATGTGATGCGCAAAAATTGCAGTGCTGAAGGTGGCAAAGAGAGTGGTGGTGGTAACTAGGTCAGAATAATTACGGTAGGGTCTTTTTTGCTTACCGAGAGGTTGATGACTGTAAAAATTGCCAAGGTATTCGCCGATACGCAGAATCGGAAAATGAACGAGGTATAGAGCATAAGAAATGGCGCCAATATAGCCGAAATGTAGATTTTCGAAGGTGAGGGTACTAAAATTGGTTTTATCGCAATCTCGCTCTCTCGCTGTCTATCTCTCTCACTCTCTCACCCGCTCTCTCCTTTGATCTGTGATCGGCTAAAATCCTAACCTTTTTGCTCCCTTCCATAAAAATAGCGCCCCAGCAACCGTAACGATAATCTGGAGCACCAAGTGAAGATGTTTCCCCTCAACTTGAACAGGTAAGAAGACTATAAACGTCACGAACAACATTCCCAACGTGATAGCGTTTTCTTTCTGTTGACTTACACCTGGAAGTTTTACAGTGGAAGATAGAAATTTTGAGGCCGTGAAAGTTCAGCTTCTAACCTATGATCTCGGTCTCCTCCTCGTCTTCCGTGTGACACGCAGCTATCATCCCGGCCAAAAATTGCCATAGTCTTGCCAGTGGGCGGTAAAACCCGGAGATGTCGGTGGCTTGGCAGCGGTAGAAAAGTGACAATACAAAAATTAAAACGAGGATCCAGGGGTCCGACTTGGCGATTATCTGAAACCGTACGTTTTACAACTCTAAAGTTTTTTTCGGCAACGTCTTACGGCAATCCATACCTTGGTAATGTGGCAATATAAGAAAATTTCGACTTCCTGATATTACCATATTACCAAGGTATCGATTCCGTAAGTAGTGTCGTCATTTCCGTAATTAAAACGTGTGTAAGCGAAAGTTTGAAAACGCCTAGGCAACGACAGTAAACTTCGCCAAAAATTGCCAAAAAATCGATGCGCAAAAAACAGCGATTTTAATGAACTTCGTTTGATATACTTTTCATTATAATAATATTTAGAATGTGGATTTCCAATATATACAAATCAAGGGCCAAAACTCACCCTTCAGCTTGACCCTCGATAGCAAAAATATAATCGGCGCAACCAGATAGAACTGCATCTCAACCGCCAACGACCAGGTATGTAAAAACGGCATCTTTGCAGTATCCTTAACAAAATATTACCCGCTGTCATCTCTATGTTATTAATTTTTAATGTTGTATTATGTACTACCTCAGCAAAATAGTCGCCTTCTGATTTGAGCATATTAAAATTGACGTAAAATAGTAGTGACGATGGGTAATGTGAAAAATATCGATTCGCCCACTGTTGAGTATACGAAAACATCATTGCAATGCCTGGAAAAAACGAAGTTTTAACAAAAAATTTTTAATAGCTATCCACAGCCTAAATCAATACTAACCTGCCGCCGCCATCACCATAAAATACAAAGGACATATCCGCTTCATCCGCTTGTAATAAAAGTTCAAAAATAGTTCGCGAAAATTCTGCTCGGTTTTAGACAGGATTCCCATGATTAAATATGCAGAAATTACAAAGAATCTCAATAAAAAGTGTAAAATTTCATGCAAAAACTTACAAATCTACTCCAAGAAATCCCAGGGCAAAAACGTGAGGCCAAAAATGGTAGCCGAGGACGGCGAGGATGGCCAACGCTCGGAGGAGGGCAACATCTTCACGGAATTTTCGTTTTTCTGGAATATAAAAAAAGATCAGTCATCTTAATTTGTACAAACCATATAAGTTTCTATATAAAAGTAAGCCGAGTTTTTAATTATGTCATGTCTTAGGCAAAACAGATAAAGTTCAAAATTCACGACTTTCTATTTCACTCTGTGAATGCTCCACCGTGAATTCGAATTGAAATTTATTTAATTTTAAAGCATTAGAAATTTGGGAATCTCTAGCAATTAAATCACTTTATTTAGCCGAATACGAATTTGTTGAAACTAAAGTGAAGTAATTAAATATACTAATTTTTGAAAGTATTTTTTACTAATCGAGTTAACTGATTTTAGCGATTTTCAGCGTTTAATTTTGTTAAAGGTTATCTTAGTTTATTTATTATAGATTTATTTAGACAGAATATTTATTTAGACAGAATTACCATCCTGTTCGAACTAATCTACGCAATTTTTGGATGAGATTAACAAGGATGAACCTCGGATCGGTTGAACTGGAGCATCATCAAGCGAAATCTGATATGTAACGTCGATTAGCGGCTGCTTTTCCATTATCGAGTACAATATATGTTATGGCGCCGCGAACGTCAGTGTTCTTCGGTGAACCCCAACCGGTCAGACGCTCGGGCTGGCTTTTCCCCCCAAGTAGCTGGTGGCACCGGCCGGGGAGTAGATTTCAATCTCCATCCTTCGTTCCGGCCAAGCTTGACCGCACACTCAAAATGTGGATCGGTTGTTCGCGGTTTTTGAAACGTTGCCTGTGTGAAATTGGTACCAAAATTCGAGGATAATTGAAAAAGACTTCATTTAACTCAATTAAAAGTTAAAAAATTGAATTAAAAATTGTTGAATGGGATTTTCTTGAGCGAATCTTCCTTTCCTATAAATTTCTAGATTCCTTAAACAAAATCTTAAATTTTCGCAGTCGATTACGCTATGGAAAGGGGGAGCGCGTGCGTTACGTATAGCTGCCGAAGCTAAAAATCCTACCATCCTGCCGCCGCTACAGTAACGCTCGCGTTCAGCAATTTTAGCAAGCTGAGAGGTTTGTTATGTTTCGGGCGCTATTGAATGTTCTGCGTGACATCGCCAAATGCGAAAAGCACCTGGAAACGTTCCCGTGATAACACCATATCTTTCAAAAATACATAGTGTTACCATCCCGACCCGTTAATAATGCTAGAGCCTTGACTTCCTCCAATCCTCTTGTGATGACAGCTGTAGTATAACTTCAAATACCCTTTTTTTGCAAAAAGACTTATCCGTCCCGGGATCTGTACTTGCCTCCACTCTTCCCCGCTAGCTAGCCCAATACCGCAAATTTCGCTAGCAACGGAACCGGCTCGTTGCCAGCCGGCCGAAACTTGGGTGCGCAAAACAACGGGCAAGCGGTCAAAACTTGTACTCCCCGAGCTCCTACTCTACAAAATTAGACCAGGAAGTCGTTGGTCGAGAGCGAAGACCATTTTCTTGGGGTATCTGCTGCCACTTTTTAGGGTACGACTATTCATGTCTTATGGTCTAGGAGAGCAGAATTTACTGCTTAATGGATCCGGTCACCGAGCCAAACGACGTGTTTTTTCAAATTTAAATCTAATTGTTTTCAATAATATTTTGAAAATACGCCATCGGGGGTAGCGGGCGTAGCCCGCTAACCCTTTTTTTGGTTTGAGGTACCCCCCCATACGACTCTTTTGGGGTCCTTTTCCGGATTTAAAAAAGAACCATGCATCGGATCGCGAAACTGAATACACCATCGGAACCGGCGACACTTTTTGCATACTATAAGCTTTTAAAAATTGAAAAAAAGTTAAACTTCGAATTTTAACAGCCGATTTAAATTGCGTTTCGAGGGGGGGGGTCTGCGTTTGTTTGTATGTATGTATGCCCGCAAAACCTTTGTAGTCGTCAAAAAGTGCCTTCCCACCATCCGTTTGGGCTGAAATTTTTTACAGTTATTGGGTGACTGATAATCTCGGACCGCAAGAAGAGTTTTTTTCAAAATAGGCTTTTAAAAAATTTATATTTAATTTTTAAGTTTAGAAGCTAAATTGCGGTCAAAACAATGGTTAGTGATGTCCGTTTGGGCTGAAATTTTGCTCAAATATACATTAGACCATGCTGGAATAAGTAAAGAAGAAATTGCAACGAAAGAATGCTTTTTCTCTGAGATATTATAACTTTAAACCTTCGCCATACGGGGCGCCACCCTCCCTTTGGCGGCCCCAGTCCGGAGTCAGCAGGGCGGGTCTAGCTCCCCCAAGACAGGCCGCCAGTCTCCCTTTCGGCCTAGTGGTTAGCACGCTGTACTGGGAAGACTTGGCTCCCAAGTTCGAACCCCACCCAAAACATGGTTTTTGCCGATTGGCCCCCGTGCATCCTTATGGTTTCTAGTGCCGTCACAAAGCGCCGCAGGCAATTTTTTTTGAAGTTGTGCGTACAAGGGTTCATCTGAATGAGTATTCCTTGGCTTATTTTACGATCTTAACAATAAGATTGAGGCAAAAAGGGCTAAATTCTCTCTAAGGCTAAAAAGAGTCTTTTTAAAAAAGGGCTTTTGGTTTTCGCAAAAAAGAGACGAATTCTCGTGGCAACAAAAAGAGCTAAATTCCTTTCAAACTCTTAAAAATGCCACAGAATGTGGGATCAACCAAAAGTTGCTGGCACCTTATTAAAATGGACAGATCTAGTTTCTAGCGGTTTCGGCTTGCAAAGAATTTCTGTTATGATCTATTTGCACTTTCTTGAAATTAATCTGTGGGCCTGACCTGTGATCTGGGATGGTACCGAGTTTATTAAGGTTTTAAATAGCCAGCAACTTTTTGTTGTTCCCGCATTCTGTAGCATTTTTAAGAGTTTGAAAGGAATTTAGCTCTTTTTGTTGCCACGAGAATTCGTCTCTTTTTGCGAAAACCAAAAGCCCTTTTTTAAAAAGACTCTTTTTAGCCTTAGAGAGATAAATCTATCAATCCGCAGCTGCCAATTTTGCACGTTTCGACGAAAATGGCAACAAGAAAAAACCTTGCTATATTATGCGTTTTTGAGCTTTTTTTTAGAAAAACGGGATTATATGATAACATTAATTGGATAGTTTGGCTACAAAATCTCGATGATACGAAAAGCTATCATTAATGTGGGTTCAAAGTTCCTTTCAGGACCTCTCAAACACCAGGTCAACTGACAGATGGCCGACGCAAGGCGAAACTTGTTGTTGACCTCATCTCAAGTTATCTCAAGCCAGTTTTTTCTTCACGATGGTCGATAAGAGGAGCTTCAACTTTCTAAGGTTGACAGATCGCCAAAGATCGGCCGTCTACTTGAACGTGCGCCTGGAGGATAAATGTCGACTGCGCAAGGTGGCGAAGGTACTCATGAACGTTTTGGGCTGACGATTTACTTTCTACATACCTTTCCCGGAATATCAGATCATATTTTTAAGGTTTTGCAAAACGGGCATTGTTAAAATGACCGTTTGCACCATAACAACTTTTCTAAAACATCACTTTCCTCGAATTTGGCTCGATTTTCCGAATATATATGGCTTTTCGTCTTCAAATCTATAAAAATCGGGTTTAAATCGATTAAGATATTCAAAATCCAAATATTGGTAAGACCCTAAATTTAAATAGCTTTAGATCTTTGCCGAACGGCCAGCCGATCGTTTTCTGTTGCAAACACGGTTCCAAGAGGTGCAGGTTCACGGTGCAGGGGAGGCGGTCAGTCGGATCAAGTCTCACTTCTACACAATTCTCAATTCAGGGTTTGGGAAGGCCGGGCAGTTGCCTTTGGATATCGAACATTTTCCCATGGGACACATTTTCGATGACTTTTGGGAGCCCAGAGCTCCCGATGAGCCTCGTTGTGGATTTTCGGTAAGTTCGACTCTGCC